AGTATCAGTTGTTAAGCACTTGTGTGATTGAAGTCAGACCACTTAATTCATCAATCTTTCCTAAATAATACTCATTGACTATTTGGAATGCTTGAAGTTCCACTTCGTTTAATGTCTCGTGTGGTGGTTCAAGTTCTAATTGATATATGAAGTCATTTACCATCTTTAAATAGAACCTAACCCTATCTTTTTTTTGTTCGTGATAATCTTGCCCGAATGCCATTATAGATTACCCCCAGTGCAGCTCTTTGCTAAGAATGCTAAAACTGCTATTGCTATTGCTATTAGGAATATTGATCCTACTATTTTCCAGAATGCTTTGAATATTCCAGTTGACATTTTTTCTTGTCCATTGTCTTTCATTATTGTCCTCCATTGTTTAGTAGGTCAACAAATATGCCTTTAATGAATCTGCATTTGTTTCTTGTAAAAAACAGTTGTCCTGTGCTTTTAGGGAAGCTTCCATCTTTCTTTTCATAGAAAACCCCATCCACTATAATTTTTAATGCTTCTCTTGTTATAAAGTCATTATTCAAATTTTCCATTGTTTGATTGTTTTCACCTGCTTTTTCAATTGCAGGTCCGAAGTAATGATGCTTTATCATCTTTCTTACTGTGTTTTTTGTGATATCGTTAGTGATTTTTATTTTTAGTTGTGTATTCATAATACTTCTATTGTACCATATTTTTTAGTGAATGTTACATACTTTCTTAAATTTTTTTTTATGCTATGCCATTCAGTTCATTTATTCTTTGGTGTGCCATAAAGAATAGGTGCTTCAACAAATAATACTGAGACTCATAACTATTGATTTCTTTTAGTATTTCCCTATTCAGTTTTATTGTGTTTTTATACACATCCTTTACGGTGTGAATGTTTGCAATTGTGTTATCTATCTTTTCAAATAATTGATCTATCATTTCTTACCTCCCTCGATGTCTTTTATAAACTGAAGTATTGCTTCATAAACTTCCACGCATAAACTATTGCCTGCCATCTTTATAAAGTCTTTATGTGAAGCAAAGCCGTTGTCTATTAAAACATTTAATCTGTCGATCTTTTTGTTAGGGAACCCCATTAATAATAGTGCCTCCCTATAAGTTATGGTTCTCATAGGCAGCTTGTTTGATATTGCTGCAAATGTTTCAATCAATCCTATGTTAGGTATTTTATCTTGACCAGTTAAGATTGTGCCCACTTGATAATCGTGTGGTGCCCCATTTGTTAGGTTTTTACATACAACCATCATCTTACGCCTATATTCAGTATCGTTAGGGGTTGCCATTTCTTTTTCTTTATTATCTGAAGCTGAGAATATGTAATCCCACTTTGCCATTCTTTCTTCGAATGTTAGGGGTTTCTTGTAATGTTTCATAAACAAGTCAGTCACTTGTTTGTTAGTCATTTCTTTGAATGGTCAGTATGCTTTTTTAATGCTTACAACAAACAGTCTTTTTCTCTTTTGTATGGATCCGAAGTCTATGCCATTTAACACGAACCACACGCTTTTATAACCCAGGTTTTCTAATGCTTCAAGTCATAAGTCCAGTTCATTCTTAAACTTAGTGGTAAGAGTTGGCACATTTTCCATTGTGAGATACTTTGGTCTTTCAGTATGGTAAGTGTTCTTTAGTATTCTTTCAATTTCCCATACAAGACTGCTGGTACTATCAGTTTCTAAAGTGCCCTTTGCTTTGCCCATTGCCGCATTTGAAAGTCCCTGGCAGGGGTAAGAGTAATGCAGGATCGATTGTTCCCCTAATGTTAGGGTGTGGATGTTCTTTATATCATTTGGTATATTGTTATTAACAAATGCTGCCACTTGATTTCAATATAAGAACTCAGATGACTTGCTTTTCATTTTAGAAATATTGCGCCCATCTAAACTTCAGTCTTGAGGTGTTATGTATGGGTTCTTTTCTAAAAACTCGTGAAATTCCTCATAGTGATGGAACAAAGAGTAAACCATATTACTTTTAGGATTTCAATCGCAGGTTATCTTTACTTCCCCAAATTTTAGGTTTTCACTTGCTTGTTTTACAGCACCTATGCCACTAAATAACTCGTGAATTTTAAGCATAGCGGTTATTAAATAACTTGTCCAATTTCTTGGAAGTTATGCTCCTAATAAAGAAGTGGTGTTCATTAAGTATTAACAGTTTTAGGCGCTTTTCTAATTTGGCGATTAACTTGCCTGCTAAATAATAATCATAGGTGCCTTCAAATTCAGCTAATTGTTCTAAATCAGCTTTTAGAAGTGGAAGTTTGACTTCCAGCGATTCCCTATCTATTAGGAAATTTTTGTAGAATGTTAAAACTGATATTAGGGTTTTCATTTTACAAAAACTCCGCTTCTAATTCTAACTTTGTAATTCTAACAATAAGATTTATCAGGTAGGTTTGTTCTGGCAGAATATCACGGTTAGCAATTATGTGGTATGCCCCATCTCTTGCTTCCTCTAACAGTTCACGCGCCATTCTTTTTGTTTGTTCTCATCCACATTGAAGTATGGTCATTTCATTCACATCTTTTTTTAGTTGTTTTACTTGTTCTTTAAATAAGAAGTATGCTTTTTCTTTTGAAGTCATGATTAGACAGTTCTCCCAATTTTTTCCATTTTCTTAATCAAATTAACAAGTGTCTTGTTGTATTCTTGTTCAAGCAATTTGTTTGCTCTTTCAGTCAAGATTGCTATGTCATCTTGAGTTCAAAAACCATCTTTATTAATAATAGCAAATGCTTTCTTGATTTCTTTTAGGTTTTTTAGGTATGCAGTTGTGTGTGAAGTTTGATTTATTTTTTTAATCATACTTCTATTGTACCATAATTTTTAAAGAAGTGTAAAAAATTCCATAATTTTTTTTTTATTTTTAAAACTGCTTATTTGTCTTCTAATTATTTGAAGCGCTACACGCCTTTGTTTTTTGCTTACTATATGTTTAAATACTTGCCCAGTGTTCTTGTTTATTATAAAGAGCAACAGGCGTGTTTTATGGGGGTATAAAAGAGAATAGAAAACAAGCTGGCATATTTCTAATCAATAATCACTCATTTTCTTTTCTATTTTGGATCTTGTTTTTATTTCTATTAGGTATGGAATTTTATTGTTTTTATGTTTTGCTATTAAATCAATCCATCCCATAATGCCTAAATCAAAGTTCTCATATAAAACTTCAGCTTCTAAAATTTGGAAGTCTTTTGTTTCTTTTTTAAACGCCTCAAGACATAAAACTTTCTTGGGGTGTTCAAATCATCAGGATCGATCGTAGATGATTGGCGATTAAAAAGTGCACTGCTTTCCCAAATTCTGCCGCACGTTTAAGTATTCATTCTGGGATTTGTTTTTGTATTTGTCTTCAGTGTATTCTCTAAATAAAGTACTAAAACTTAATTAGGTTATTGGGTTTGTGGGTTGCATTCATTTTCTTTGTGTTCTTTCAATTGATATTTCAAATAGTCCTTTTTGTAATAGATTTGTGGTCTCACGATCTTAGTGATTATTTGCCAATCATTTTTGGCGAATGGTATTGTTTTATCTCAAAACTCAAATATCAGTTTTCCCTCGTGGCAATAAAGTGAATATTCTATTTGCTTACATTTACAAAATCAGGATAAGTCGTGTACATACATAATAGGATTATAACATAAAAAACCCCAATTGCTTGGGGTTAATCAAAAGAATTTAAAGAATACACACAACTACACAACTTTAATTCCTATAACTATAAAAAAACTTATGCCTTTCTATAATTATTACCAACTTTCGTTGGTGCTTGTTATTATAAACAAAAAAACAGATAAAGCGTTCAGAAATGTCATCTTTATCTGTCTATAGGAGTTTTGAATAATTTTTTAATATATATCGGAAAAAATTGAAAATGCCAGGTTGCTATGAATGGAAATAAATAACAACCCAATTAGTATTATAACATAAAAAGGGATGTTTTCACATCCCCTTTTTTAATAAACGACCAATTATTTACGTCCAGATATGTCCTTTCGTGTAAATAATATTCGGGCATATTCTCTGCCCAACTGTTATTATACCATTATTTTTTTCTTTCGTCGTATTCTTTTTTGTTTTGCTCGATCAATTTTTCTAACATTAGGTCTTTATATTTGCCCACATCTTGTATGAAGTCGTCGAACTCTTTTATCTTTTGTTCTGCTATTTCTGGCATATGCTTACGCACATATTTCTTGGCGTTATCTGCCATTAAAAGTATGAATGGGTATTCTGCCAACACATATTTGTCGATCAATTTCTCACGCATCCTAATCTCAAATTTCAAATAGAATAGGCGTTCTTGTTGTTCTGTTAGATCGTGCTCTATCTCTTTTTTCAACTGATTTTTCAAGTATCTAAAAAGAGCACTCAATCCTAATGTCAATATGTCTTTAATTATCTTTACCATCTTTGTATGCCGCCACCATTTTGTAGTAATCTTCTTCACCCATTCTGTTTTTTTTTAGCGCTTTTTGGTGCAAAACTTCTGTTTGCATATGTGCTTGCTCGACTTTTTCTTTTTCATAACCAAGATGTAAAAACATTCGACGTATTTTTTCATCAACATATTCTTTGTTGACACAGCATGGTCGGCCCCGTAAGCGTCTATAGGAGATAAAAACGCCTTTTTTCTATTGAATCAAAAGCCGAATAAAGGAAATAAAGTATCCCTTGCAGCCTCTAATTGAAAATGTGTTTCGCTTATGCGTAATCTTAAAATATAATCCTCACCATTTTTTTGCACTCTATTCGTAGTAATTAATAAATCAAGCGTCCTCGAATAACTATCGCGGTCGGGAATTAAGTCAAAAAAACGTGTATATTTGGTTTCAACATTATTGCTTTTTCGATCGTCAGTATAAGCAGTGAGAATATTGTCTATATACTTTTTTGTTGCTGCTGCATCGTGCATCGTCATCCGCTTCAGGATCGGCGACTTCTGATATTCTTCTGCTTTGGTTCATTCCAAGTGGTAATTTATCAACTTTGGATCATTCTCCACCACCTGGCGACTTCTTAATAAAATCAGTGGCATCCCCATCTTTTCCATCTTTTCCAGGTTTACCATCCTCCTCTCCGTCCTTGCCATCACGACCATCCCTAACTTTAAGTTTTATGGTGTGATTGTCGCCATCAATTTCAGAGTTAGGGGCATCTATTTCAAGTGTTATGGGTTGTTTTGGTGTTAATGACTCATTGTTTACTTTTATCTTTTTAAAAGCGTTTATGCCATCTTTTCCAGGTTCTCCGTCTTTACCTGGTTTGCCTGGTTCTCCAGGAGGACCCTTGATATCACTTCCATCAAAAGTTAATCGAAGTAATGAACTATTGTCTTCTGGTATTTGCTTTTCAATTTTGATGGGTGAGATTGCTGTTATATTATTTGCACCCCATTCATTGATTTGCTTACGCATTTCTTTTGCACTTATCAATTCACGATCGGCACCACTTACAAACATAGTACGATCGTTATCTTTTGGTTCTTGCACGTTTGTTAGATCTTGGTGTTTTAGAATGTTTAGATCGTAATATTTAGAAAATATGGCGTAAAGATAGTTAGTCCAAGTTTTTAATGCTTACGGCAAAGTCTATGTTATCAGTAATCGAGAAGTCGCCTGCACTTGCCATACTGCTCCCACTTAGAAAGTCAAAACCATTGTCTAAACAAAACAAAGTTGTACGGCATATTGCTGTTTTTATTTGTTCTACTTTTTCTTTATCATTTCCACCACTTAAAAGACCCTTGTCATCAAATTCCAGGGTCTCATCGTGTTTAAGTTTTCCCTGGGTCACGATTAGATCAATATATTCTGATGCTGATTTTATGGCGAACTCTATTTCTTGCCGTGTATATTCAGGTTTATTGTGATATTTAAAAACGTCTATGAAATATTCTGCGGTTATCATTGTTTAAATTATACTCTCCTTTTTCTTTTCTTTTTTCTTTTTCTTTTATATATTTTCTTTTTGTACTTTCTTTTCTCTAAAAGATCCTATTACAATAAGTGGACTTAATCTCCTAAATGCTTTTAACACACCCTATGGGACTAGAGATATTGACATCAATTCTATTGGATGTAACATTTAATGGGGTTTATACATATTGACGATTTGGGATGCTCAATTTGCCATTATGTTTTCTAACGTGGACTTTGCTTGTATGCCAAGATCTTTTTTGATTTGCCTATATTGTGACAAGTATTTGCCTTTAACAAACCCAAAATGAAGCGGACGTAAATAAAGAGTTCAAAAAACAGATCCTGCACCACTTCCATTCTTACCTCTTGCTGCTTTCATAGCATCTCACGTTCTTAATGAGACATTTGGGTAAAGATAGTGCTTTCCTGTTTTAAGAATAGATAACTCAAGAAAACCTTGCTCAAGTGTTTGTTGAAAGAACACCCCAGCACTCAATCACGAGCTGGATAACAATGCGAAGTCGCCATATTCATTTATAGGTTTCCCAGGTCCTGGTGGTTCTTTTGGTCTTGGCGGAGGAGTTGTTCCACCCCCACCCCCACCTGGTGGTGGAGGGTCTTTTTGGTGGCAACCCACATCCCCCAGGACGATGTGGTCTCCCTGGTCTTTTAGGGAAAACAGTATCGCCACCACCGGTCCCTCATCCTTTCTCTATTGGTCGAAATGGGAGTCCGAGTGGAGAACTTGATTTAGGGGGTCATTTTATTGGGGGTAGTATATTTACCCCACCTGACCCACTACTGCCCGTTGTGACGCCTGTAACTCCCCTATTTGTGGGGTTCATTACTTTTATGATTTCCTGGTCTGCAGGTGTTCTTGGTTTTTGACGTTCATTTATGAACTCATTTCATAACTCAGTCAGATGTTCATTTGCTTCATTAGAAGTGGTGGTTCTCAAATGTTCTGTCATCTTTTGTGAGAACTCCCTACGTTCTCTTGGCGATAGTTTTCCAAGTCTTTTGGCGAACTGTGTTTGGTCTTTAAGAAGTCAACGTAAAAGCACCCGGTGGGGTGCTCTCATTACGCGTTCTAATCAAAGTAGGTTCTTATATGCCGCAAATGCGTAAGAAGCAACAAGTTTGATTAAAGATCACATTCATTAACTATCCTTTTTTAGGTTTAACGTAAGGACCGGTTATGTCTTGGTTTGGGAATTCTTTAGGTTTATCATTAGGGAAGTCGTCACCCAAATTCTTTGATACTTTGATCTTAGGTAGGTTTTCTAAGTTAGATCCCTTGATTGAGTCTTTATCTTTTACAATCAATCCAAAAAGGTCACTTCTGATAATTCCACGTCATAAATTAAACTTCAATATGTAATGAGGGTTTTCCTGATCTTAGTCTTGTTTCACTGACTTGCATCCCTCCTTGTGCTAATAAAGCTGCATCACGATGTGCCATTATTCCATAGATGCCCTTGAAGTCAAATTCATCGGACTTGTGTAATATTTCTTTCTTTATTTCTTTGTTAAAGAATAGGTGGTTTTTTACTTTACCACTTAACCCTGCTATTTGAGTAATGCCATCGCTACCTGATAATTCTCTTGAGATGGTTGTGGCACTGTCTCCACTTGCTCTCATCCCCAGTAGAATTCTATTGGTTACCATTTTGTCTAATAGTGTTGCAAAGTCTGTTTCACTTGCCCCAATGTCTCTTCTATTGATTTTTGATGCAAGGGCGTATTGCATATCTGATAGTCCCAGGATCAATTTTTCACCTAATTCTATTTGTTCTTTTACTTTATCAAGTTTATGAGGTGTTATTTCCCCTATTTCAAGTATTTGGTGGTCTTCTAATTTGGTCAGGTTATCTTTTGCATATCTTACAAAGATGTCAATATAATGGGCGTCCATATATGCTGCCAATCTATTGGTCAATCCTGATTTAATCATTGCCACATATTGTTCTCTTGTCATTGAACTCATAAGATCGGTTTCTAATGTTTCGATTTCATAAGTAACCTTTATTGATTTATACACATCCAATTTGATTAACCCAGTGCTGTGTAAGTCACCAGCATCCTCACGATTTTCTTTAGTGTAATCGTCATAGAGCCCTTCATTTTGAACCCTGATAACTATTGTCCCTCCACCACTTAGTGATTTAGGATTTGATATTTCTACGCTATTTCATAAACCTATACTGTTATGTCTTAGGTGTTTTAATGCACCTTGATGTATTAAGTCTAATTCTGATTGTGTTAGAAAACTTATTTGGTTTCCTATCAATCCTTCGTTCCCATACTTTGGGGCGTTATTGTAATTTGCCATCTGTTTTTAATGTCTCCTTTTACGTATTGTTGTTCCTGGTTCGTAATATTCGTCCATTGGATGTTCTATTTTAGGAACCATTGGTTCAAGTTTAGGTGCATTTGTAAGATTATCCCTAAAACTCGTAGGGGAATGTTCCCCATCAAAGAATAAGTCGTCATATTCATTTATAGCGAATGGATCGACATCGTGTCCGTAAACTTCAAGAAAGTAATCGAACTTATCAGGATGCCCTCCTGCTTGTATGTATTCCTGTTCTAAGTTGTTTATTCTTTGGAACATCTCTTGTTCTTGTTGTTGGAATGTTTGGTTGTGTTCCACTGATTGTTTTAGTGATTCTATTTCTTGTTTTAATTCGTCTAATGTTTTGTCTTCCATATGCCTCATATCATAAACTATTTAGGTTCAAACCATATTTGTGTTATTCTATCGCCATCTCAATTGATTGTTCTTTCACTCCAAGCGTTATTTGCCGGACCTGGGGTTCTGTTTGCATTATAATTTCAACGAAAATCAGATTGTCAATCATCGTGACTTGTTGGGAACCCAACACTTCTATAAAATCAAACCGAGTTTTTTAAATCACTACTTCTAAAGTTCTAAAGTCCAAATTACTAATCGGCATATCCTCGTTTCATTGACTGTTCCAATTCATAGGCAACCTGTCTGGGTATCTCCAATCACCTAAATCCGGGTCACCCAAAATAGATTTTCCTATCCCATAACGAAATCTTCCGCGTGCCGGGATCGTAAAACTAAGTTCTGGTTTGTTTTTCAATTGAAAGATGGGCGTAAGATTTGAAACGTACTTCTAAATCACTACCACTTTTATCTAAAGTGTATGAGCTTTTTGGTTTTATTATTAACGGAATATTTTGGTTACTTGATTTGCCATACCAATATTCCATTTGCACACGCATCCGGTTAGGAATAAACCCCAACCCTCCAGGTGTTTTTAGTCATCTATCTTCCACATTATGATTTCACCCACATCAAAAATACATATAGGCATTTTCGCTAATTTCTCGACTTGTTTCAAATTCTTGGGTGTCATTGAAATAAATTGGATATGTTTTTGTTCTATTATTGACCTCAAAATTAAAACGATATTTGTCTTTTAATTGATTAAGTGTTATGTTATGACGATCGAAAAAACCACTTATTCTTACTGTTCTTGTTTTGATATCGTGTTGATATGGCGTTGAGTCACCCAGGGTGTTAGTTTCCAAGTCATAGTTATAAAGACTACCAACACTCGTGCTTACACTTGGGAGTTTTACCTGATTATTGCCCCCATAATCGAAACGTCGTGAATGAGAAAAGAAAATAGTGGATGTGGACACATCTATCCTTTTTCATTGTCTTGGCGGAGGTGGAGGCGGAGGAGGCGGATCTAATGGGGGAATTATAAGACGCTTTTCACCAATGATGTGAATGCTGTTTTCACTTGCTTTAATGTAAATATAACCCTCATATTTTTTATCTCATCTACTTGATTCATTTGGGGGACGTGTTGCTTCTTTTTTATCAAAGACCCCAATGTCTTTATCGTCGACTTGTTCTAACCCAGGAACACGCCTTAAATAAAGAATAACGTCACGTTTTATTGTTCTATTATCATATGAGAAGTTATTGAATAAAGTCCCTATATCCACCAATGCCTTGGGTGGTTTTAAAGTTTCATCGACAAGATCCACTTCTAAATCTTTATATTCAATAGGATCAGGTTCTACCAAATCTTTCGGGTAGTTTATTTGTATTTGTTGAAAAACTTCGTAGAATGAAAGTTTAAACGTATTGGTTCAATTTCTCAAGCTGTTTGTATAAGTGGCATTTGTTTTGAATGTTCCGGATCAGGATGAGAAATCCCCAAATGTAAAGAATGTGATCCCCACGTTAGATTTGCCTAATGCTTGAAAATTTAGGGCATCCAACTTATAACCATTCTCTTTTGGTGGTGCTGGTCTGCATCTACTATTTCAGAAATGGGTGAACCCCAACTCTGTTGTTTTTTCTCTTAATTTGTTATTCTCATCGTAATATTGATCCGTCAATGTGAAATTAAAAGCAGCACTCGTTGCGTTAATGCCAGAATACATATACTGGTCATTCTCGTTTTGTGCTTGAAAGATTTCCAATGGCATCACATATTCTTGCTTGTTCTTTGAAGGTTTAAATGCTGAACCGAACGTTGGTGCTATTGTTGGCATCAATAATGGGATGGCATTTGTTTCAAGTCTGATCTTTTCTTGTCGTCATCCTGATGGAATTCCCAATCAATTCATCATTCATGACACCGCACCAAAAAGTCCACCCACCAATGGGATCCGTGTTATGTTTCAATTAATAATGCTTTTTTTCTCTATTGGTAATTTATCAAATGCCGATAAAGCAAAATAGTTATGAGATAAGAAAGTAGGCAGATATTGTGGTTGCTTAAGTTCTATTCGTTCTTTACAATAGGGATTATGCCTTGCGTCTAAAGTTATAGGGTTTACATTATTAAAGTTGAATTTGAAATCAGCATCAAAGATCGTGTACCTAAACATACTATCGTTCTTAACAACAGGGTTAGAATTTAGCATTTGGAATTTGTTTGTTGGTTCAATTGTTCCTTCCCATCTACTCATAAACTCAGAAGTGGAATCCCTATTCCATTCTGCATTTCAATCGTCCACGTAATCTACCAACGCTAATTTAAAAGCAGCGGCATAGTAATTGGTCTCCATCTGCTTTTTATTCATTAACTCATTGGGTAATGGTTCATTGACTAGGTATGGCAAAAGCATCCTTGGTCTTTCTAAATAGTGTGAGAATTGCCCTTCACCATATTCAGTATCGAAAGAGGCAGGTCTTCCCATTGCCATTATGGATCCGAATGCTGTTAGACCATTAAAGTCTAATTGCACTTTCTTTATTGGCACATCCCTCATAAATGCACTATCAAAGATTAAAGTGTTGCCTTTTACCACGGGTTTTAATATTGTGTCCCCGGGTGCCCCCCAGTTGATAAATTGGTCGATTGCTTTACCACTCTTGCTTATTCTTTTGTTAATGCTTCTGAATGTGATCGAATTGACGTAGAAGTCAGTCTCTAACCACACTTTATCCACATTGTCTATATAGAGGAATTGGTTGGTTAATTGTGGTATTACATATATGAAATCAAAGATGTCTTTTTGATTTATTTCGTAAGATGTAAATACTCTCACGCTTTCTTCCACTGTAAAGTTAAGAAAGTCCTCACCCACTAAATTAGCACCATATTTTTTTGGTAGAAGGGTTTTTTGTGTATTTTCGCTCGGTACCAAAAACATTTTTTAATATATTGGCATTTTGACTTATTTCTCTCATCGTAAATATGGTTATAAATTTTTTAAACTGAGTCGGTAAAAGAATGGATTAAAATTTAATTTCCCAAAATAAATTGGCCTACTAAAACGAATAAAATAGATAAGTAAATAGGAAAAAATTGTGTAACAAAATAAATAATGATCTTTCTTAAATATTGCCCAATAAAACATGTCGAATAATTGAAAGTTTACAAGCTTGGAAGCTAAAATTCTTAAAAATTTCGGAAAATTCGGCCGGCCGTCACATGTTAAAGAAACAAGTCTACAGGCTACTAGTACAAAGAAAGAGGAGGGAGACGGAACTAAACGCAACAACTTCTTCTCGCCATTCAATAGCGGGGAGGCAATTTTATGGCTTATCCATCACACTAAGGGGAAGCAAACATACTGCCTTAGGCTGGGCCATCTTAGAGAGATTTCAGAAAACGAAAGCGATTTTTTTGGAGGGGTTTGTTGTCTGACAACGCGACCGTTTTCAAAGCATTTCGTTCCGAGAAGCGGGCTCGTTGATGGGCTAGGCAATAATATACAGAAATGATATTTCACTTGTCTATATTTCACTATTAGCTCATCATCAGACAGCGTTCCTCAGTGGTAACACCTATATTAAATATTTATAATGAAGCATTTTGTTATGTTTGATGAGTGAAGAACTAGTACAGAAACATAATACGAATTTAAAAAAGCATGCATAGAAAAATTTCGTTTTCTCTAGGCATTTTGCTTGTAATAGTGTATTATGTTTAAAAAAAAATAAATATAAATTCTTCAACAGTTTTCTGACTATTTTGGAGAGCATATATAATAACGTAATCAAAAACGTTCTTGCCGTTCATGATCCTCAGAAACGGACAGCCATATAAGGCATGGTACTCAGCAGCATGTCTTAAAGTAACCTTATCACCATTTTTCGTTCTTTGCCAACGTTCCTACAGCTGCACAACACCCTGCAGATAAAACACTAAAAGGCCCATGAGTGCACTTCACAGGTCTGCCTCATCCAATCAAAAGATTTACCATGTAAGTGGTTGTCCAGGGAATGGAACAGATGATATTATGTGGGACCGGTGAGCATATTGGATGATACAGTGTCTCCCAGAGAAGTCGATAAATAGCATCCCTTGCTTTTCTTGTAACTTGTGATAAGCCAATACTAGATTCTTATGTTGCAGTGCATTTTGCACCTATTGTAACTTCTGCGCTTACAGACCTGCAGTGAATTTGGAGGTAGTGGTCGAGCCTGGTGGTAGTAGTTCGTAACGTACCATTTGGTCCGAGGGAAACACAGCATGAGTTGAATGCAAGAAGAGGTGTATCAATGCACATTAAATTCTTGGGGTGTGAGGTACAGGGTCACGTCGTGACAATCGACGTCTGGTACACTTGGGAGTGTTATACGGGATCCACATTTCGTCATTCGTGAGATTTGTACAAATATGAACGCGTTGCGGTATCGACCCTTCTGATAGTCCGACAACGGTTCTCAGCGATTCCCAATAAGGAAAAAGAGCGAAATTTGGTGGTACATTTAACATACGGGATCCGTATTTCGTCATTCGTGAGCTTTATCCAAATATGGATGTGTTGCGGTGATTTGTCCAAATATGGATGTGTTGCGGTGTTGACCCTTCTGATAGTCCGGCAGCGGTTCTAAGCGGTTCACAATAAGAAAAAAGAGCGGAATTTGGTGGTACATTTAACATAGTGAACACGCTTTCCTTAGCAGTGAAATCTTCCTAAGCACTGATGACTTGATACACTGGATAATTCCAAAGCTATGTGTTGCGGTGCTGAGACAGCAATGACAAACCGTCTGTTACTCACGATCGAAACGGAGTTAGACACCTCGGGTGTCTGGGCTTTAAACCCGAACCCAACTAAAAATTTCGAAATTTTTGTTTCAGTTAATTTAATAAGCACTTAAAGTGTACGGAAATGAAGGAAAAAAAATCAATTTGTAAATTTCTTGAACAGAAAACCATCGAAATGTGACTGAACGATAATAAGGTAAGTACAAATCAAATGATGCCATAAATACTTAATATACAGATAATTCAGAAAAGTACATGATAATAACGTAATACAACATATATAAACATCTTTTGCACATATTTGGGCATCTGAGATTGGCCATTTGATATTATGTGGCTTGTTAAAATCCTAGTTACAGGTTTTTATTTCAGAATTGTTAATTCGCCCCTGCCTATCGTGAAAACGCATAGCTAGTTAATAACAATAAACCCTTAGCTGAACAATTTTTAGTTCTTCATTTATATTTTTGTTACGAATATACGAGGAGGAATCTGTGATTTGACTTAGAATACTACTCTGGGCAGTTTGCAGTTCTTTTCTTTTTCTGTTTGTTTTTCAAGAATAAGCTCAGACTGGACAGGCATAACATTGCATGGGACGCAGAATGAATTTACAAATAACTTATTACCAATGGACAGAACGCTATTTTAAGCTGTTAAGGGGTACAAGTTGTTACTCATGGTTCCTGTTGACTAACGTCATTGGTGGGGTATACTCATAATTCTTCCCTATACGGTGCAAGCGAAACCTGGCTGTTTCTTCTTAAACCTGGAAGCATTCAGAAAGCTCATCACCTCTTTGAAAGTACATTATTTCCTTAGATTTATAAATTGCTAGAAGTTATTTTCAGTTTATAACTAATATTACTAACATAATCATTCAAAATTTCAGTATTATATGAAATTTAGAACGCATTTCTCACCGTAAAGAGTCTCCTTTCTTTCATGATTAAAACATTTTGAATATTTCAACACTTGACATGTGTAAAATATAATAAGTAAAATTTTTAATATATTTTTCTCCTTTGCTTCTAGACAGAAATATTTCTGAAGACGAAATAGATCAAATACTTCAAGGTAGTGCTGTTTTTTTTTCATTTTACAGAACAATACGATATATATTTAACATATGATAATTTATTTATTCATTTATATACAGATGGCAGCGTGAATGAAGATGAGGTAGATAGGTCAGACAAAGGTAAGTTTTGAATATATTCTTCTTGCCTACTTATTCATACTTAGTGTAAATCTTTATCAAAATATCATGAAATCAGTATTGTTTTTTTCACTGGTTCTTTCTCTGACCTGGAGCCCATCAATATTCTGTGGCAGTAGCCACCGAAACTAGTAATGTAATATTCATAAATAAAGTCAGGCATGACCGATAAATTAAGCTTACTCTACACTATACTAAAATACGTTCTGTATTAGGAAGTAAACTAATACAATGTATTAAATCTAATAATGCAAAAGTCAGTAAAATAATGTATTAGAATAAAGTAATGCAACATACTTTATTATGAAATAAAATAATGCAAAGGTAATACTGCACACTACTCTCTCCCTCATGTATAAAAGTATTTTATTCAAAAATTTGAATCTAAACCGCAAAACGCGAGTATGAAGTAAAGAAACGTAGTTTTTATATTATGGAGCTTAATATATTATTTCGGATAACAGAAATAAAAAATAATTCCTTTTCCTAATATTAATAAAATATATACATTAGATTCCCACAAACTCGACCTAACGTGGATTGACAGGATATTGAGTAGCCAAGTGTTACAGAAGAAGAGGTAGGTTATTCACAACTCAGAATTTCTTCCAACACTTAAAATCCATGGTCATTTAGCTTATACAGTAGGATACAGCCATAAACCTGCTAACAGCTTGCAACAAAAAAAAAGGAATGTGAATGGTAACTGACAAAGGTTAACGGACTTTCTTTAACCATTTTGTTACAGGGAAATGAATGAAATTGATTGGATTTTCCTCGAAAAGAATAAAACTGTCACTAAATTCATGATACAAATTTGCAACACTTAGTATCCTAAAGGAAGAGACAACATTTGGACATTCATACGCATAAACATGCACTGTAATTACCATAATACACTAATTAATATATACTGTTTACATCGAATAAGCGATGTTAAAAATTATTACAGTCTAGCTATTAGTAAATCACCACATTATATCAAAGATAATATTCTGCTTGAGCAGCAGATTTTAATGATTAAAAAACTGATAGTCGAGTTATTTTGGGGTCATTGTTACAGTAAATTAGAATTTTTTAACTTGAAAGCTGTGATAACACGGCATTGATAAGAATAAGAAGAATACTAGAAGTAAATGAAACAGAGTGGAGTCATACTTAAACGATGTTTACTTAATCGATTATGCAAAGCACTCAAGAATTATTTTACTAAAAGAGGGGATGCTTTCACGGAAGGCCTTCGAAAAGAAACTGATTCGTATTCCCATTACACGTGGGGAAAACTACGAAAATATACATGCAGCCAAACAACTCAGTAGGATTCAAACGCGGGCAAAGCTACCAATAATCAGCGATCTTATCCCCTTGTAATAAATACAAAAAAAGCTATTGGTGGGTATGGAATCACATTTCATATAAGTTTGGATGAAAGTGTTGGGAGTGTCTGAGCTCAGCATTTTGCTATATTATACATCATTGCCAATTGGAAAACAGGCCGAAACTTAGACGTTTGCCATTGTTCTCTTTTGTTTCACATATGTAAATCACGGATACTGAATCAGCAGCAGATATAGCGGCACAATTTACTCCAGATAACTGAACGGGTTGGATAGTGACCTTCCTCATCATGAAAGTCATAGCTAACGGTATGTGCTTCCCCCTTTGCTTAACTTGAATACGAGCGCTAATCCTTGGATGAGCATATTTTAACATACGAACCTTTTTCTTAGCTACTTTTTCCATAAAGTCATTTTTTAAGGTATAACTGCTTATAGTCCATGGCATAGCTGTTTAGCATAGGCCATGGCATAGCTGATTGTAGTCAATTAACCGAAAAAGTTTTACCTGCAATAATTAATCGTATTTAGACTCATTATGGTTTAATTTTATATTTAAAAATCAATTATTTGGTTTTGCTATTGTTTCATCTTCCTCTTCCTTTTTTGAGTTTTTCTTAATGTCAGTGTAGAATCATGCATGGCAAAAATATTAATAATGGCAAAAATATCCATCTAATTCCTACTCGTCAAGACTGTACAGCTCTAGTGATCCTCTTGTTATCAACCTTAGTCTATCAGGTTCAATGTTTCTTCTAACCTTCTTCGGAAACATACAATGACCTGACTAGAACAGAGAGCTTACTAAAGCTATGTTCACTAATTGTAGTAAGTAGACAGGATACAGACGAAGGGTATACAAAACCCTTTATTTTTTCTTTATATACAATGACTTCCGTACTTCGGAATACAATGACCCTCCACTCCGGGTCTAACTTAAAAGATATCAAAATAAAACTAAACTCTAATTTAACTTAAGAATAAGATTGGCCTTATAATAACAGGAAGCGTATGTAGCACAGAGACTGTGAACACTACAATACGTTTAATTTATCAAGAGGATTAAAACCTCTGGCCTGGAAGGCAAAAAGTAGCAACTGCGTAACTTCTAAGGTAGCGGCCTGCTTCGAAACTCACGGCTTCCTCTCTCTCTGCTTGGCAAAAAGGCCACACTTAAATACTTGGCGTTCGCCAGACAACTTTGCATAACTAATTCACGCTTATAATTCTGGCCGGAAGTAGAAAATAAGAAGTGATAGTAAAGATTTAAAATAAATAAACGTTAGTAAAACTTAAGATCCTACATACTTCCCGCCAGAGTTAATTAGTTTGAAACTGAGGTCTAAAACGACCTTGTTGAAAACTTTTAGCTCTAGAAACTAACGCGAGGCCAACCTTTTACAATCATAACTTCAGCTAGAAACTAGAAAATTTTAAAAGAAAGAAATTTGTTACAATAGCAGCTCCGGAATATAACAATCTTTTTTCTTTTTCATCTGTACTGCATCTAAACAGGAGCTTTATTCAATTCTGGTTCCTTCCAGAGATCTGGAAGGAAAACTAGTTTAAATGAAATGTTACAAGAATGACATTGCAAATAACATATAGAATATACTTTTCTTAACATTCTTATTTCATTCATGACTATTTTAATTATCTCTCCCCGTGCTCTCTGACATGTGTTGTAAAAAACACCAAACACGAATGTGTTTCTGTCTATGTGTTCAACACTTCCTCCTACAATCAAACACTAACGTGTTAAAATTCAACATACGAGACCTCTTAACACACCCTAATTTCAACTCTAACCCTGAGGTACTATTCTGAAAGTGGCTAACTCTAAAGTGTAGCGTCAGAGAGCCTAACTAAACACTCATCATCAACCTTTAACACATATTCACCATGATTTAATCTTTACAGTCACACGAATAACAAATTTTTTAACATTACTTTCACTTTTACCATATCACGGTATTTCTAAACATTCAAAATAACAGTTCACATGTATACAAGGACATATCAAGATGCCGTTAATTTTACACATTTGAAAACATACATTAGTAGTACATTGTTAACTTCTATTCTTTTCAAAGCAAGTGCCAATTCTTTCTACATTGAAATAATACTACATTTCAAAAAGTCTTTCAGACTAAAACTTCTTTCTTGTTAGAATGTTTTAAATAAAATTTATACAATAACCTTTTACAATATTTAAGTCTTTACACAACGCTATTATACATCACTTTAGTTTTACGCGCGCGAGTAATTGAAAAACATAATAAGAAAATCGGTCGCACAACTCATTTCTCGCCCTTTTGGCGATAAAGGTAGACCTCGCATGAGGTAAAACTTCTTGAAATCTGCCACTTGCAGTAAGAATGAAGATTAACTTAAGTTTGTAAAGTAACATAAAATTTTACTTATCTTTGTAATATTCAGACATCCTTTTCTGGGCCCAGTCTTTAAAGGGTGCTGCAGACCGTAGCTTGGTTGATCCTCCTTCTTGTACGGGCTCGCCCTTCAGTGCTTTCCTCTGGAAGCTTCCTTTTTCACCACTACGGCCACCCTTGAACATCTTCCTTTGTGCTCTGCTTGTGGTCTTGGCCGTTTGAAGGCAGCTGGTCTTGGTGGAACCGGGAAACTTCTGTCGTGATCCTGCTTGGACCTCGTTGTTGGCCGTTCAAATTTTTCTTGTACTTTTTTCCTCCGCCGCTGATGGCCCTTCCGCAGTTCGGCGACTTTTGCTGCGGAGAGTTCTGTCGATGAGTCAATCTTCCGTTTCACACAGCCGGGTTATAGTTGCCGTCCTTTCTCCCGCGGTCTTTTCCACATACGTCGTCCTTCTCCCTTCTTCATTCTGGGGGTGTTCGTGAACTCTGTTTTTTTTGGACGGTGGAACGGCTTCTTTTTCTTTTTACCTTCAGTTTTTCCGCGGGGCAATTTTCTTTTCACTTGCTTCTGTCCTCTCATTGGCTTGCCTTGTACTTGTCGTTTTCCCCCACCTCTGGAACTTGTACCTGCGGTGTCTGCCGTACCGGATCCTGCAAAGATCTGAAAAGATTTGCATTTTATTACGATCGAAGTAGGGCTTGATTTGATCCATGTTTGCGGAACAGGTTTCAACCATTTCTTGCCTTTAACACTACAACAGCGTGAGTTATTTTTTCTATAACATATGGTCCTTCAAAGCGTGGAAAAAATTTGGCAGTTTTATCTTCTGGTGCTGAAGAAAGTGAATGCTTAATTTTTAGTACTTCATCCCCTACTTTATAAGTTACTCCCCGTCGTTTCAAAGTCATAATACAATTTTTTGTTCTTTTGTGCTACTTCCGTATTCTTTTTTGCTTCTTTTATTAGTTTTTCAATATCACCCATTTTAAATTCTGGGGCTCTTTGTTGCACATAAAATAGTTTATCTAACGGTGTTATAATCTTTCTGCCTAGAATAAACTCAGCAGGAGTTTTGCCCGTTGTATCATGTTTTGCGGTCCTAAGGGCGAAAGCAAATTCATTGACATAGTTAGACATAGGTATTATCCCAGCTTTTATGAAAATTTTTAACATAACTACGGATAATTTTTCACTATATTTCTGTTGACCCGTTCCGCTATATTTGATTGCGGCCGATACGGGACCATTTTTTAA